TGTCTACTCACAGGACCCACTGGATCTGTCCAGCACCTTTGTGTCTCTGGCTTTGCGCAAGGTTGGGCATTGGCCCCCCGGTGCCCGCAGAGAAAAGAAACTGAGCCAGGAGCCCCAAGGCGGGAAGCTGGCTTCCCAGCAGAAGATGAGCCAGGAGGAAGGAAGCCCTCCAAGAGGGGAAACCCCCGGGCAGAGTCCTAAGGCAGAGGTGAGGAGGTGGGCAGAGGATCCTCAGAGGGCTCTGGAAGTCACAGGATCTAAAGGTCATGGGCAGTGATCAGTAGAAGGAGTTCTCTGCGGATTAAAAGACATGGGCTCAGGCTCCGTCACTGTCACCCTGTTCTGGGGTAGTTTTCTCTGCAGGAAGGTAGGGCTGATACCATCTTGCAGAGCTGTCATGAGAGTTTCATGAGTTGCCTTGATGCTAACTGTAATGTTAACTGTTTGAACAAAGGAGTAGGATTTGGGGAGGTGGAGGCCTCATATCCTGCTTGACTTTGCTTCCCATCCCTAGGCATCTCCAGAGCTGCTAGCAGCTGCCTTACAACAGAGCCAGGAGCTGGCAAGTGAGATGCTTTCTCTCTTCCTCCTCACCCCACCCTCCCTGGGCTAGGCCCATCTGAATCTTCCCACCCTCTCTCCTCCCCAGAGTTGGGTACCAGCTTTGCCCAAAAAGGTTTCTACCACAAGGCTGTGGTCCTCTTCACCCAGGCCTTGAAGCTCAACCCCCGGGATCACCGGTAGGTGGGGCGGGGGGTTGGTTAGCCACGGTGCTGGGACATCAGGGCAGGGCAGGGTGCCGAGGACCCCGACTTTGGGCCATTTTGTCTTCCTTAGGTTATTTGGAAATCGTTCATTCTGCCATGCGCGGCTGGGTCAGCCGGAGAGGGCGCTAGCTGATGCCGAGGTGGCCCTTACCTTGCGGCCTGGCTGGCCCCGGGGCCTCTTCCGCCTGGGCAAGGCCTTGATGGGACTGCAGGTAATGGGTGTGAGGTTGGGAGCAGAAGAGGCGGGATGGGGTGGGGACCAGGTCTACACTGACATTTTCTAGTTAAGCTCCTAGTACCACAACGTCACAACGTCACAACGTCACAATGTCAGTGGTACTCAGAGCTGGAGCCAGTTTGAGAAAGGGGCAGTTTTAAGTTCTTTGGCCCTGCTGACACCTAAACTTTCCTCTTTTTTTTTTTAAATCCCTATGGGCTCAAAGCGTTTTGAGGAGGCAGCTGCTGTGTTCCTGGAGACTCTGAAAGGCGGGTCCCAACCTGATGCAGCCCGGGAGCTCCACTCTTGCCTTCTGCAACTCGCTCTGGTAAGGGGACCAGGCCCACCCTCATGCTGAGGGGGCAGCAGAAACAACTGGCTGGGATTGCAAACCCCAGGCGGGTCAGGGGAGCGGGAGCGCGTGAGGGGAGGGGCAGGGCGGCGCCGCTGGGAAGGGCATCAGGTGCTCCGCCCTCTGCTTTCTCAGCAGGATCAGCGAGGAGGAATCCCTGGGCCATGTCTGTCAACTGGCTTCCCCCATCCGTTTCCTCATGTTGAGCTGCGGCCTTCAGGCCCCCTCTCCCTCAGTTGCCCTCAAAGCACTACCCCAAGGGCCCCTGGCCTTCTGTCTCCCCCCTTGCACTATCCCCCACCTCACCTGAGCCACTCCAGCTGGCCCCTCCCCCAGACTCATCAGGATGTCCATCGGGATAAATGATCTTGCTTCAGTTTCCTCATCTGTAAAATGGGGGCAATCCCTACCTCACAGGGCTGTCATGAGGACTAAAAGAGAAAGTGCGAGAAAATGCCTACCAAGTGCCTGGTACTTAGCGGCTGTTAAATAAACTGATTTGCACCTGCAACTGTCCTTCGTATTCATAATTCCGACACTAGGAAGAGAGGAGCATGAGTAAATGACTGCTTATTTCACCAAATCCAGGGTCTGTGGGACTGGTTCTCAAAGTGTGGTCCCTGGGCCAGCAGCAGTATCGTCTGAGAGCTTTTCACAAACACAAATTCTCGGGGCCACCCTAGACCTTCTAAGCCAGAAGCTGGAAGAGTAGGGCTCAACAGTTTGTGTTTCAAGAAGCCCTCCAGGTGACCTGAGGCACCCAAACATTTGGGAAGCTCGGCTCTAGCTCCAGGCCGAGGAGATGCCCATCCAGGAGGCCATTTTGTTGGGGCAAGTTTGAGTTTCGTTTATGGGAGTCTTCGTTACAAAAGGTGGCAACACTGGGCTAGCATTAAGGAAGCCTCGAGTAGAAAAAAGTTACGGCTCAGAGCCAGTTGACTTGACCTGACCCTGCCTATCTTCCTGACTAGAATTATTTGCCCTGGGAGTTCTTTGCTCATGCCTGGTGGAGGGGTGGGGTTCGGAAGCCGTGTTTGTGTTTCTTTAAAGGGTGATTACATCACAGTGACTCCGTAAGAGGCCTGCTCATCTGGCCTTGTTCTGGGCTGGGGCTGGGGGTGTGGTGGGACTTCTCTGCTTTGGGGACTCCACTAGGGACCCTGGCTCGTCAAAGAAGGGCCACCCACCACCCGTGTTTGGCATCTTTGCTTGCAGGCTGAGCTGGCTCCTTACTCTCGTAGCCTCTCAAAGAAATGTCCCCTCTCCTGTACCTCTGATCCTGTCCTGGACTTGAATCTTCAAGAGCCATAGGACTCCTGACACCTTGCCTTCACTTTCTCCCACACTCACACTGCTAACTGGTAGGGTTCTGACCTAGCAGCCTGAGAGCTCCGAGTCCCCAGGGCTAGGAAGCAGAGTGACCGACCATCCTGGTTTTCCAGGGACTGAGGGATTTCCTAGGGTGTGCGGCTTTCAGTGTCAAAACCGGGAAAGTCCTGGGCAAACAGGAATGAGTTGGTCACCCCAATCTAAAGGTTCTAGAGAGGGGGGAGGATATAGCTCAAGTGGGAGAACATAGCTCAAGTGGGAGAACGCATGTTAAGCATGCAGGAGGTCCTGGGTTCAATCCCCAGTCTCTCCTCTAAAAATAAGTAAATAATCCTAATTACCACCACCCCCTAAAAAAATAAAAGACTACATTTTTAAAAATAAAAAAATAAAGGTCCTAGAGAGGTAGCCTTTAGAAGGGGGTGAACAGAATACAGATGGGGCCCTGAACAGGAACCAGGGGAGCTATGTGTGTGTGTGCTATATTTGTGTATTGAAGTGGCAGTGCAGGAGCAAAGGTTCCTTTTTGTACACAGTGGGTGACAGATGAGCTCTGTGCTAGTAGGCGTTCTCTGCTTCTGTCAGTGGTGCCACTTTCCTGCCAGTTGTCCAGGGTTGCAAGGTCGTCTCCGATTCCTCGAATCATTGGTCACTGGAGTAATTACACTGATTCCTGTTCCGTGACAACCTCCCCACTCCAGTCTGGCCCTGAATTCTCTCTGCTCTTACCTTTCGTAGTGGCCAGAGCTACACTTCTTCCTCAGGTCTGTGCAGGTCTCCGGTTCACCCTGCACATGCAGCCGGATTAGCCGGTCTGAGCTCTGCTCTCATGCCTCTCCTCACTAACACCTCCAAGGACCATGCTCTGTCTGGAGTACAACGGCTGAATTCCTATCTTTGGCCCTGCCTCCTCTCCTCTCTCTGTGAACCCTTCTCCCAGTTAGGCCCAGGCCGAGTTATAGGGACAGAACCTGTAGTGGCCAAAAGCATGAGCTCCTGAATCAGACAAGCAATCAGGTTAATCACAGCCCTGCCACTTACAGACTTCATGACACGATCAGGTTTCTTTGAGGTTTCCATGACATGATCATGGGCTTCTTTGATCCAGTCTCTTTATCCTTAAAATGAAATTAAAGTCGCATCTCATGAGGTTATGGTAAAGATTAGGCCATGCAAAGCACTTGAAACTGTGTCTTAAAATGCCAGGTTCCTTTCTGCCTTCCAGCCTTGTTCATTCCCCTGAAATATCCCTTCTGCCTGTAACTGAGGCCCTAGCTGACATCACCCCTACCCCAACGTTGAACCCCAGGTGGATTATTTCCAGAGCATCCTGATGGTGGGGTTGTAGCACCTGAGCATGGGAAGGTCTGAGGAGGGAGGAGGGACTGATAGGGAGAGAGGGGAGGCAGGAAGACCAAGCCTAAGCATGGTCTCCTGAAGATGAGCTGGGATGGCCGGGCATGGGGGAAGACCTGCAGCCACAGGAATGTTTCTCTTCCCTCCCCATCACACGCAGGATGGTGATTAATCACCAGCATTAGAAATTGATCTCGGAAATATCCACAGGAGGAGGTGGGTTGGGCTCTCTGTAAGCGGCTACTCCAAGATCCACCTCGGCAGGTAGGGCCAGGCCTTCTCACCCTCCTGCCACCGCCACCATCCTGGCGGGGACATTTTCTGCCCAAGTACTAGTCGAGTGGAGATCCTAGAAACAGGTGTGTGCCCCCTGTCCCAGCGCTCATCACGTTGCCTGTGTTCCAGCATAGGATTCCTTCCGTGGGGGCAAGAAGAAGGGTCGAGACCCCATTAACAATTGATCTCAGGGTGGGGAAACAGGAAAGAGTCAGACAGGACGTTGTCACTCTGAGGCCAGTCTATTCGTTAGGCTCAAAGTCTCCCAGGCGGCGTATGATCAAAGGCCGGGCGACCAGTAGAGGAAGAGTCGGCTCTGCCCGAAGCTACCAGAATCCCATGCCCTTCCCCTCATCCGGAGCAGAAAGCTAACCAGCACCAGCTCTGAAGGCTGACTGGATGCCTGGCCCAAATCCTGACCTGGGGGTTCGTCCTTTGTAAAATGGGCGTAGTTATATCACCTACCTTACAGGGTTGCTATGCAGGTTAACGGAAACACCGCGTTTAAAGCGCTGGGCACAGTGCCAAACACAGAATCTTCGCGATAATCAGTAGAGTCCGCTCTTACTGCTCTGGGCGCCAGGACTGAGGCATGCTGTGGCGGAGTCTCAACTTTATTCTCAGCAGTTGGGAAATGTGGGCGTCTGGGCTGTGAGGCCTGGGTCGACACCCTCCCTCCACCCCGGAACCCCGACTGGACGCGGAGGCGCGGAGTCCAGCGCCCCGGAGCCCGGACGGCGGCTTTCATTTCAATCGTCCACCTCTATCTCCTCGTCTGCCAGGTGGGGCCCAGAGTCAGGCCGGGCAGGGCCGGGGCCAAGGCCCGGGGCGCCGTCAGGCAGCGCCAGGCGGCACTGGATCTCGGGGGACAGCGCGCGCAGCGAGGCCACGTCGGCGCGCATCTCCTCCACGTCGCGCTTGAGCTTGGCGCGCCGGTTCTGGAACCACGTGACCACCTGCGCGTTGGCCAAGCCGAGCCTCGCCGCCAGCCCGTCGCGCTCGGAAGGCGCCAGGTACTTCTGGAAGACGAAGCGCCGCTCCAGCTCCAGCACCTGCTGCGCGGTGAACGCCGTGCGTGACTTCCGCCGTCTGCGGCCGGCCGGGCCGGGGCCCAGCGCGCCCGGGGCTGCGCGGCCTGCGGGGATAGGGCGCGCGTCAGTCTCTAGCCTGCGGGAATCAGGCGTCGGGCCCGGGAGGAAAAGCAGGGATGGGGGTCAAGCCAGCGAGGCGGGCTTGGTGCGGAACCAGGAAGGGGACAGGAGCCAGAAACGCTGTCCCTTCCCGAACTGTGAGGCGGGGCCGGGAGGTGACCCCGAGGCGGGGCGCACAAAGTGGAATCGGCAACTGGGGTACGCTGCAGGCCAAGGGCATCTTGCGGGGACGGGGGAGTGGGAGGAGGATGGGACAAGCCAGAGGAGACGTCGTGCACTGTCTGGAGGTCTAGGGCGGGGCCTCTGAGGCCTTCCGGAGCCCCTGACGGAGCGGGCTTGCAGATCCGGGCCGGAACCAGGGAACCAGAGGCGGGGGCTGACCACGGTCAGAGTAGCGGCAGCCAACCGGCACGGTGAGTGTAACAGGACCCGGATCGTGCCCCTCTTTAGACTCGTGGGTCGTGTCGGGCACTCTCGGCTTACTTTTTTTTTGGTGACACAGGCTCCCCCTCATCGAGCCCGAAAGGAAGAGAGTGGGGTACAAAGGGCGAGGAAAGGCGGAGTGCGGAGTCCCGCAGCCCTGGCCGTTCCAAGGACCCTCTGTTCTTGTGCCCTCTCCAGAAGAGAGCGGCTTGGAGCGGAGCTCGGTCACTCGGAGAGGCCTGAGCCTCGTCTCCCAGCACTTTCTGCGTCGCCCCTGTCCTAGCTCACTCGTTCACAGCCTCCAGCTCAGGCCTTTTGTCTCCTCTCCGACCTTTCTCTGTCGCGATTGCCCCGCCTACAGCGAACGGACCGACGGGTCGCTCAGTTCTCGACAGACTGGCCCTTCCCCTCGGCGCTGGCGGCCTCCAGGAGCGGCCGCGGAGCCTGGGAACTAGAGGAGGGGAGGGGGGCAGAGGGAAATACCGGCCCCAGCACGTGGGCTGAGGGCAGGGCTCGGATTTGGGTAGCGGTCAGGGTGAACGAAGGATCGGTAACCTGGAGGAGAGAAATGGGGAGAAGGCCAAGTCACAGTGCGCGACCTTGCCAGCACTATACCTTCAGAGGGTTGTGGAGCGTGCCCGTCAAGTCCGCAGAAAGTTTTACTAGTCAGCTCCTCCAGCGCGCACAGCGGCGACGTGGGACTTGGGCTCGACTCTGGAAGCTGCGACGCAGAGGGTCCTCGGGGAACCATACGTGGGCCTAGGATGTCTGCGATGCTGAAGGGTGTCCAAGGTGGCCGGGGCTCGGATCCCGAGCTCATGGCCAGCCGGGCTGTGGCAGTCCCGCCGCCCGCTGCGCTGGGCTCCGCAACTGCCTGGGCCCCAGCGCGGCTCCCGATCTGGGCCCCCCCGATCGGACCCGCCCCCCGTGCTGGGCCCAGCCTCGTTTGCCCCCTTCCTCCTGCCGCCCCCCACCCCCCAACCCGGGGGCCGCGGTGGGTCTGGAGCTGGTAGAAGTCCAGGCAGCTG